GCTACAAAATAAAGAAATGACCTATCTATTTTATTTACTAACCAGAAATCGTTTCTAATGGACGAGATGCAGTCGTTCACATTCGCACGATCAAAGTCGTCCGATTATTCACGACCGCAAAGTCGTACGACTACGCATTCAATGGACGGGTCTGGAAGTACGTTTTTCCTGTCAAAACACTCCAAATTGCAGCACCCTGCACATAGCAATTTCACTATTTGATGACTTTACATCCTGTAGTAACTTAGTTTTTATTGAGTCTCCGGTTTCTGGTCCGAACTTTCTATACCCATTATCATAGGTTCATATTTAGTAGGTAAACCATTCAGAGCTTACACTAGAAAGTTTGTTTGCTGTGCCAACAATCTTATTTACATAACCTTCGGCTCCTTCTTGAGGATATTTTTGACAAGTACTTTGATCTAAGTCGTCGTTTCACCAGAAGCGATTATGTCATCCTCTTCTGCGGTAATGCTGACGCTTTCATGGGTAAAACTATCAGCGACAACTTAGTTGCCCCTATACTTGATAGATTTTCTCACACTAACCTAATCATCGTTGGACCTCCCTATGCTGCCTCCAGGCCCATTCTCAACAACCAGGGTTGGCTTAGAATTTCCGCAGGTTATAAAACCCAGTGGGTTTTTTTGGGTTTTTTTCAATTGATAAAACCCACCATTATTGGGTTTTTTGGGTTTTTTTAAAAGTAGCAAATTTTTGGTTGAATGAACGGCATTTTCACAGAAAATATCGGGGATTCCCTGATGATTCCCCAATCCCTGGCTGTTCACTGTTGGCATTTGGCGTGGTGGCCTGGGCAGAGACTCCCGTGCCACGTAGAATTCGACATATCGAAGGCGCCGAGTCTATAGAATCCTGTCGATATGTAGAATTCTACATGACACGGAGTATCTGAGCTGGCCAGCCAGAGGCGCGGTGCAGTGCACTGATGCCAAGTGTAATTATTCATATCAAATGTCTTGCTATATTTTGTAAGGATATTTTTTTTTTGCAACAAGTCATAATTTTTGTAATACTTTTGCTAGAGCAGAAACTATAAATCAAATTTGAAGAAAAAAAACGAAACCCTCCGGGAAGCCCGAAAAAATCCAAAAAAACCCATTAAAACCCAAAAAAACCCGACGGGTTGGACTTTTTCAAAAAAACCCGACGGGTTGGACTTTTTCAAAAAAACCCGGGTTTTTTCCAACCCTGTCAACAACATTACATACGAATCGGACATGGTCTTCAAGAATGTCCTGCATAACAAGAAGGGCTCTCCTGCAAGGTTACTCAGCTTTAATGAATTTTCCGATGACTGCGAGCTGAACTACTATGGCAGTCAAAATTTTTGAATTACGTCGACTCCAGAAAATTGGCTGTCTATTATCAGAAAGTAAGAGGTCTTAGAACGAAATCAAGTGAGCTCTTGGCGAGCACTCACTCATTAGAGTATAATATTGTATGTTTGTCAGAAACCTGGCTCAATGATGGCATTTTGAACTTTGAAATATTTGATCCGCGTTTCAGTATCTTTCGGAGGGACCGTAATTATGGTGAACTAAATTGTCAGCGTGGTGGTGGAGTTTTGATTGCTACCTCCAATAATATTCAAGCAACTGTTCTGGATTCCCCTGTTAACCTGGCCTACGAAGATGTATGGGTTCGGCTACTCGTTGATCATATTAAGGTCATCATTTGTTGTGTTTGTATTCCACCTAATTCATCTGTTGAATGTTATCAATCGTTCTGTAATACTTGCGAATCTCTGAAAAATAAATATGTTAATCATAAATTCATTCTGCTTGGTAACTTTAACCTTCCCAATATTCAGTGGTCGGTAGAGAGATGATACATTAATCCCCTCAGAGCTGAATTCCACTTGTGCTTTGGTTTCCATGTTTTTTCTGGAACTTCAGTAGATCAATCCGCACAAGAACTGCCATAATCGAATTTTGGATTTGATCTTCGCTGATGAATTTGCGAAGTCTACTGTTTTGTTGTGCTCAGACCTGACACTTTTCACCCGGCCTTCGAATGCTAGCTACTTCGACATTCACTATACTCCCAAAAAATATTAGTACCTCCACTTTTTATGTTTTCGACCGTGCCAATTTTACGGAATTAAATAATTTCTATGGTTCAACTGACTGGTCATTTTTGGGAACCACTTTGGACGTCGATTTGGCCGTCCAGAAATTTAATGAGATCCTACTCGATGGTATAAATATCTATGTCCCAAAAAGAAATGTTAAAGGTCAGAAGTATCCCTGTTGGTTTGGCAAAGATCTTCGTAAATTTATTACCAAAAAAAAAACAGATTGCACAAAAAATTTAAGAGATCTTGCTTGCAACGTGATTATGAAGCCTCTTCAAACATAAGGCGGGAAGTCAGGTTCCGGACTGAACTGTGTTATTTAACGTTTATTTCTAAAGCGGATCATCCTATTCCCGAAAACATCAATCATTTTTGGTCATACGTGAAGAGCCTAACAGGAGTTTCTGGTCTGCCCAGCCTAATGCAGTACAATAATCAACACACACTAATTCTAGTGATATTGCTGATGCGTTTGCCTCGCACTTTCAGTCCTGTTATTCAAATCATGAAGATGTGGACTTGTGCAGCAACAGCATCTGTGCAGTTCTCTACCACTTTGTCTTCATATCTGCACTGCAGAGGAAATCACTGAGAAGTTATCATCCTTGGATAAATCTAAGAGAGAACGCCCTGATGGCATTCCACCCTTATTGTTAAAATCCTGTTGCTCCTCCCTTGTAAACACATTGAGAGCTCTTTTCCAAAGATCGATGGATGCAGGTTACTTTCCTTCCTTATGGAAAAAATCTCATCTTCTGCCAGTTTTCAAGGCGGGTGATAGGTCGATTGTCAGTAATTATCGTGGAATATCTCTTCTCCCTGCCATTCCTAAACTTTTTGAGTCGATTCTCACTGATGAAATTTTTTACAGATATTAAAACTACATTATTCCTGAACAACATGGATTCTATGAAGGTGGTTCTGCCTGTACTAACCTAGCAGTTTACCAGGACTTGAAGCTGGCTGTCAGGTTGTCGTCAGCTTGTTACTGTTTGTGGTTCTGTATCTTGTGACGTACTTGTGACTTCTGGCGTTCCCCAGGGTTCGCATATCGGTTTGATATCGGTCCTGTGCTCTTTTCATTATTTATAAATGATGTTCTATTGTGTTTTAAAACATCCCAATGTCTCTTATACGCCGACGACCTCAAACTCTTTAGCTCGGTTAGCCCTGATCTCAATGGTTTGCAGTCTGATCTTGACAGACTTGTTGTGTGGTGCGAATCTAACTTTCTGTCAATTAATATCTCATGTAAATCTATCTGTTTCCACAAACGTCGGAACCCATTGAATAATTCTTATACGATTAATGATTCAATATCGATCTAGGAATAATTTTTGACACTGACCTGACGTTTAATTTGCATATTGATAACATTGTTCTGAAGGGTTTTAGGATGCTGGGCTTCATTGAAAAAAATTCTAAGCACATTAGAGATACAAAAGCAATCACTTGTTTGTATAATTGTTTAGTTTGAAGGTGGTTTGAAGTTTGTTAGAGTACTGTTCTGTGATCTGGTCACCTCGTTACACTTGTCATGTACAAAGACTAGAAAGAGTTCAAAGTAAATTTCTTAAATACCTGTTGTATAAACTTCACTTTCCTTATAGTAACGTTCCTTATGACACTAGACTTTTGCTTTGTGGTGTCAAAAGCCTTGAGTGTCGTCGAAGAAATGCTTATTTGTTGTTTCTCTACAAACTTCTCAATGGAGTAATCGCTTGCACTGATCTTCTAAACTTGATCAAATTTTTAATTACAATAAGATGTACAAGACCAGTGCAGTTATTTTACGAGCGTTATCACAGAACTCACTACGGTCTTAATGCTTTTGTAGATTGTCTAGTTTATAATAATTATAAACTAGATTAAGGTATTTTCAGGATAGTGATCTTTTCTCTGTTATTTTGGTATCTGTTAAGAGGATGTTGAGAGATTTGTAATTTGCCTTTCCTGTAGGGAGTGGTTGACTGTGCCACTTTGTTATGTCCTTTGTTGGTTGTGAATCTTTGTTTTTGTTTTTTATCTTTGTACCATTTAGAATATTTTATTCTGTAGTGTATTGATAAATAAATAAATAAAACTTCGAAAAAACTTTTTCAATACTTAACTACACCATTTCCAACAGTATTTCAAACTCGGTCAAATGTATTTCAAAATAATCTTTTTTATTTCAAAAATTGATATTTTTATTTCCAATTTGTCCCTTTTATTTCCAAATATGTCATTTGTATTTCAAATTAATCAAATGTATTTCAAACTGTACCATTTATAGTTCCAAAAAAATCAGATGTATTTGAAAATCATCATTTCTTATATCATCAAAAACTGTACGGGAGGTACAGGGTGTCTGGTTTTAATTTTATTTTTTCAACTGTACGATATAAACACATACCTTATTTTTCAACTGAATTGATAATCTTTGAAATAAAACTGACCATTTTTGGAATACATTTCACTAATTTGAAATACATTTGATGTATTTCGAAATAAATTTGGTTATTTTGAAATACATTTGATGCTTTTTGAAATAAACTTTATCTATTTTGAACTAAAAGTGGAAATGGTGTAGTCCCTAGGCCCATAACCTGTCAGCGGGGAATCTTCGTGGAGTTGAGTAAAAGTTTATTAAAGGCAAAAAGAGTTAATAAAATATAACGTGTTGACAGAAAATATGAAAGCTAAAAACTATATCTTGACATAACATGTACGTCTAACGTCATTACTGGTATTTTAGATATAGTTCAATAAGAACTAGATTCAATTATGGCATTCCTTTAGACTCTTTTCTCCACAAACGATTATTTTTATTCCCAGTTGAAATCCGTGTCTTGATTACTAAATGATTGAGTAGGTAGTTAATCAATTTTTGTATGTCGTAGATTTGTAATAAAACATCAACTAGAACACTACAAAATTTATTATAATATTGTGTGTTAAAACGTATACAAGATATTGTTGAATAGCAGCCTTTTCAGAAAACAAATTAGGCCATTTCACTAAGTTAAATATGCTTAAACAGTTATCAATACTTAAGAAAAAATTTTGCTGGCCCTTCATCACACATTAAAAATTTAGTAACCCTATCTCAAAAAATGTTAACTTTTTTATCACAAATTTAATACCATACCAGTCAGTTAGTTTTTTTTTTTGGCCCAACAATTTGAGTATTAAACAAAAGAACACAAAATGAGTATTTTAGGATTGGAATGTATATACCCCAAAAAAAATAGTGATATGCCAAACGGATCTGTCATTTTGGAGCTATGAATAGACAATTATTATCCTACAATTAATTACATATTACATTTAGACAAAAATTATGGAAACCCAGTCTTCAATTTAGTCTTGTAGATTAAAAATCAATTTTATTGGCACAAATTCAGAGACAATATTATCGGAACCGTTTAGGAACAATACACAAGGAATAATCATTACTAATATGTTGTACAGAGCAAAAGAAAAGTGTTAGGCAGTGAATTGAAAATGAAGTTGTTTACTCTTATCCTTAACCCTGTACCTACTTACAATAGAATAGTGAAAAAATTATGTCGAATATTAAAAAAAGCTTGTTTTGGACATCAAATGATTTCAAATAATGACTAGTATCAGGTTTTTTTTTTACTAAATGCCCACTAAAATGTATTCAGTCAATAATTATTTGAGAAATTCTTTTTCAATATTCGGCACTAATTTTTTCACTGATGCTTAAAACTAATAGCAATTATTTTTTAAAAAAACATAGTTCTAAAAAATTTGCCATGATGTGAGCTACAGCGAATTTGTTTCAAAGTAAAAAAAACTAAATAACTAAATTACGAAAAGCAACTTGAATTGAATTAAAAAACGACGAATTCAATAATTAAACAAACGAACAAAAAAATATATTCAAATCATCATCATGAAAAACGCAGACAAAAACAGTGGAACAATTACAAGTAAATCAAATAAAAAAATACTTCTAGGTCTCATCAAAAAGCTGCCAAATCAACAATTATTGTTTTAAATCCACTGTTTTTGTTTTACTCTTATTTAATTCGTCGATAAACGCACATATAAATATTATTAACAGATAAATAAAATAATCATCAATGGTACACCTTTACACCGAGACGCTCACCTCAGTTGAAGCCAGACTGGCTTCAACTTTTTTCGCTTTAATTTCTTCCGCAGTTTCTACCGAAGATTCGGCAGTTTCTTCAGTGCCGTTTTTTTTGTCAGTGGTACTTGTAGCGTCACCATTGGTTTTTGGAGCATCCTAGAAATTTCAAATAATAATGGATGTATATCAACTAAAACTACTGTAAAAAAGTTTAGATGATAAAGAGAAAAATTCAATAAGAGCATCACAAATCAATTCCAGAAACTTTAGCCCTTGCCTGAAAAACAGAATTTTTCAAAAAGGGTTCTGTCTGAAAATTCAATACCAGAAGATTCAAAAAAAAGTAACTATAACTACTATGGTGAATTGACAACATATTTGAGTTCATCTTTATATTTGTAAGTGCAATTTAAGCAGTCAGGTATGTCATGATTTAATCCTACGAGATTTAATAAGTAATCAGCTTATAAAAGACTCAAAAACCACTGCAAACTCATTTGCAAATCAATTTCATCCTGTCTCCAACAGAGAAAACCTTGCAAAATGTGAAAATAATAAGAAAACTTCACACCACTTACATTAGACCAAAACTAGAAAATGGACACACATCTTAAAATAGAATACAGAAAAAGAAGACCTTTTTTGCATTTTATTTAATAATTATTATTATAAAAAACACAAACTATACCTTGGATTCTCCATTAGTCGCCTTGTCATTATCAACCGAATCCCCATTCTCAACACCATTGGCCATGTCTTTCTTGTTTTCCTTTTCGTCTTCAGCCTTCTTAGCAACAGTCTCTTCAATTTTGGAAGGCTCTGGCTTCTCTTCGGTAGAACTCACTTCACTTTCAACTTTTGATTCTTCAGTTTTGTTGTCGGCCTGTAGTTTCTTTTCTTCTTTCTTACTTTCAGGCTCCACTTTCTTCTCCTCTATTTCATTGTCCTGTTTCTTTTCTTCAGCCTTGCATTTCTCCTCAACATTGCTCTCTTCTATTTTGCTGTCCGCCGTTTTACAATCGGCTTCGTTTTTCTTTTCCTCCTTGTCAGACTTATTTTCCTAAAGAAAAATTTATTTATCTTGAATTAAAAAAAAAAAAAATTAAACTTACCTCAACTGTTTCTGGTTTGTCTTCAGTGGATTCTGGCTTTTGCTCAATTGGTTCAGGGATAGTTTCTGATGACTTTGTTTCTACTTTTGCTTCAGCTTCATCATTGTCTACTTTCTTTTCCTCAACCTTTTCTGGTTTAACTTCATTGTTACTTGTGCTGTCTACTTTACCTTCGTCTTTGTTTTCTACTTTAGCTTCTTCACTAACTTTTTCTGTTGTTGGTTTGGCGTCACCAGTTTTTATCTCACTTTCAGTGACTATTTTATCATCTTTGTCAGCTTTTTTCTCTGGTTCAGTGACAGTACTGTCTGCCATTGTTACATCTTCATTTGTGGCATTGACTTCAATTTTGGGGGCATTTTCTTCAGTCTTTTTAGCAGCAGTCTCTTCAGGTTTTGATTCTAAGTGATAAACAATAAATTACACACAAAAAAAATCACCTAAATATAATTACCCTCTTTGGAATCCACTTCCATTGCTTCAGATTCAATTTTCTCGGTTGTTTCAGCTTTTTCAGCATTTTCTTCAGGCTTAGCAATTTTCTCAGTTTTTGCCAATTTACTTGGAGGCTCCTAAACAAATTAATTCCTGAATTTATTAACAATATGCAAATATCAATAAATACCATCACCTACTCAACTATCTTGACATGCATTCAATATACTACTTACAAAATATAGGAGCTTGGAAAAATTAAAACAAATTTATCTGAAATATAAAAATTTTATTACACTCCTTTTTGAATAATTTGTACTGGCCAAATTACTAGTTTTTATACTCACATGCACAAGCAAAACAAAAATAAATCATTTAACAATAAATAATAATAATTGCACCATGTCTCCTGAGAAAATAAAACAAAAAATTATAAAGGAACACTAAACAAATATATATCTACACAATATCACTACAAAATATACAGTTTCCTATCTACGATTTTACTCTTTTTCTACTAGACTTAACATTAACACAAACCTCAGTTGTAGCCTCGTCAGGAATTTTTCTTTTTGCAGCATTTTCAAAGCATATATCTTTGAAGCTAGAAATCACTGCAACATCCTTGGTGTCTTCTGGAAGTTTAGCATTGCCATCACGAGTAATTACTGCAACCATCAAACCTGCTGACTTAGCAGCTTTGGCTTCTGAAAATTAAATTAGTTACTAAGCAAGCAATGTACAAAAATGTGACAAAACAACCTTCAATTAAATCAGTCACAAAAAGCACTTCTTCTGGTTTGACTTTGAGTTCTTCAGCAATTTTTTTGTAGCTATCTGCTTCAGTCTTGGTTCCAACGGATTGATCAAAGTAGTTTGTAATGTGTGCGGACAAATCACCTTCTACAGTTTTGGAGAAGAGTTGTTTTTGGGAGTCAGTACTGCCAGTGGAATAGATGGCAACTTTTCGCGTTTTTGCCCAACTTTCTAATGCAGCAGGAACGTCACTGAAGACACTACAGAAAATTTTATGTAAATTAATTCAAAATGTATTAAATTAACTTACTGAGATTTTAGATCTTTGCTTTCGTAGCCTTTCTCATAAATCACGCCCTGGATGGTTTTAAGGCCTTGGTTTTCACTGCCATTCTCAGTGAGTTCTTTTACCAATTTGATGGCAGCTTCAAGGTCAAGGTCTTTGTCACCTTCTTGGAGTTGTTTGACAGCGGCTTTAATCGAGTCATCTTCCCATTTGCTTGTCAAAACTTCTTCTACGTTTTTGGTAACAAAGGGAAAGAGGGTTTCCTAAAGAATGGATTATACTAGATAATAATATTCTTTATTTTAAGTAATTATTTGATTTACATAAACTTGAGCTCAAATGAATCACAATTTTAGTATACAATCCAACAAGCTGGTTTTAAAAGTGGAGAGTGTTTTATTCCGGAAAAATTATAGATGTAGATACAGGTGTTTAGACTTTCATTTTGTATATTGTAAATTAATGACATTATTGAAACAGTTCCTATGTATTATATCATTCAACTTATTGATGAAATAATAATGCCAAGCTAGATAATATTACAACAAAAATTATTATCTGCAACTAAATGTAGATAAAACCAAAATTATGTAGGTACATTAGAAACCGAATCAAGTTAGTTATCAATTCAAATTTTAATATAAAAATACATAAATAACAAAAATGAAGAAATTGTTAACTGTTTTAGATATCTTGGTGATTGAGTAATTGATGAACATTTAACCTTTGCTGAACACTAGTAATATACCTACTACTGATAATGTTTAAAATAGTAATAATATTTGAAACTTTGCAATGACTTGTAATAGCCTTATAGACTATTACAACGTGGAAGAAATGTTTTGTCCTCTGATTATAGATGAATATCCTGAGAATTATTCCCTAATTTTTTACTCAAGTTCTTGTGCGATTAGTGCGCCACTACCGCGAAAATAAACATACCCATTAAAATTTACAGCACTAGTGCAATTGCTAAGTTAACTACAGGAAACTATAAAATGTTTTTTGAATTATCTTGTATTTGTAAATATCATAGAAAAATCTTGATTGCTTTTTAACTCATTTGAAGATGTTTTAAAGGTCATAATTTTAACTAATTGGCTTTTTTTAATAGCAGGGTAAATTTAATCAGGGAAAGCGCCTAAATAGTGAATGGTGTAAAAAAAACCCACATCAAGTTGGCATGAACATTATGATTATGTAGGCTTCACTCTTAGATTGCTTCACTTATTTCATCATTTCGATATTTCAAGTTTTTGGGTGAAATGTTTGAACATCAATTCACTCAACCTTATTCCATGCACAACTTTAAAGTATGACCTCGTAGATGGGGGTAGTCATTGAAGGTAAAGATGATAAGATTACAGGAGTAGCCATTTCGAATAATCTTGTATTATCTCGATCAGAACTCCTCTCAGACGCCTTTTCCTCAAAGAAGTGAGTCCCAAAGTGGATAGTCGAATAAGGTAATCTTCATTACAGAGTGATGGTAGAATCTTTGTTGCTCTCCCTGCACATGCTCTAGTATCTCAATATCCTTTATGAGGTACGGAGTAAGGATTCCAAACTGAGTGGGCGTATTCTAGTTTTGGACGCATACAAAATTTATATCACACGACTGGTCTTCAAAGGTGGTTCCTTAAATTAGCACAACGAAAATAGCACACATCAGAAAAACTAGAGTACTAAATTCGGGCCTATTTAGTGCTAATTTAGTACGAAAAAAAAATTTTATAACTCTATTTTAAAAAAAATTACGTGCATGTGTGCCAGCTTAAGATTAAGCTGGCACACCCTAGTTGGATAAGGTCGAACCTTTGAAAATCTAGTACCTCATATTTAGTGTTGTTGATTTTGTTTGTCTGGGTTGGATAGATTTGAACAACGTTTGTTTTTGTTATTTTTATCGGAGTTCCTGCTCAACTAGGAATTGATGATGCGATTTATATTTTATATTTTGGTGTATCTCAGATTTTCTTACAGATCTCTAATTTTTAAATTTCCTAGATTTGAAGTGTTAAATACAGTGTCAGTTATTCGGTTTTCATGTTTTGTCTACTTGTTTGCACAAATTGTCTTTTTATTGGAAGTATTCCTGTTAGACAATGAAAAATTGAAATGAAAGGTTGTATCCCGTGTAAATTTTATACTGAGTAAAGTATGTTTTGCAACTTCCTTGTTGGTTTGAAGTTAGAATTGTTTTTAAGCAACGTTTTTGCAAACCAAGTATTCCATTAGCATAAGCTGAGTTTCCCCAAAATATGCCACTGTACCTAACACGAGACTGGCATGATAAGAACCTAAAGATGAAGAGACCCACTGATTCTCTAATAATTCTGAGAGCGTAACAGAATTGGCTTAGTTTTGCTGCAATGAAAAGAAAAACCCATAAACGGTATCTCAATAATAAAACTGATTTCAACTATCTAGATTTTACTGTTCTTAGATCTCAGTGTAAAAAACTCTCTAGTGACTGTCGATTTGAGTACTTTCTTTCCGTAGTTGCAAGAGCAACCCTAGGTGTTTTTGGAAATTTATTGAAAAGTTCCCCAAAAATGGTCTATAACAACCAGGAGTTAAGCCAATGACAAAATATTGCCAACCCCTTTGGTAATTTTTTTTTCCACTGTATACTTTGACGAGTTCTTCATTTGATCACACATTGACAGAAATTTACCTTAGCAAATGCCAGATAAATGAATTATACAGGGTGTCGGGTGTTCCACTGGGAACGAAATCGATCTATATATGAAAAACTGCATGCAGAAAATTTTTAAAAATTTGATAGTAAGTATATTTGTCAATAGGGGCAACCCGGCTAAAATATTTTCAAGATGGTGGCTCTTGGAAGTAGACGTCAACTTGCTTATTTTAAATGAGACACCCTATGTAATTGAATATTTGGATTCTACTTAAAAAAAATACCCTACGCCTAAGTTCAACTGATTCTGAAATATTGACAGTTGAAAATTGATTTTACATTCCTATCTTAGATTTTGATAAAGCCCGTCGATTTTAATCTGATACTCAAAAGGAATGTGAGCTGGTGGCTCCCTACATTAGAACGCCAATGGTCACCTGATGTCACACGTGTTTTTGCTACAAGCTTCACCCCCTCGCTCCTCATACGGAAAGTGTCAGATTAAAAACGACGGATAATAAACTATCATTTGGCACCAACTTTGAATTTAACCGAATATTAAATTTAATTGGAATTTCTAATCAGGGATTTTTTTTTTTTTTTGAAGAAGTGCGCAACTACAAAAAAAAGGGCGAAGTTCAGAGATATAATGAAGAGGACCTTGTGAATGCTGTTAATGACGTCCTAAATCAAAATAAAACTTTCAGGCAAGCAGAACAGTATCACAATGTTCCCATTACTGTTATATTCAACAGAATTGAAGGAAGTAAAAATCCTATGACTACTTTGAGTGCAGGCCGCTGTCCTGCCTTGCCTTCCGATGTAGTAGAAACCATAGCAAACTGCCTCATAGCTCGGGCTCGAATGGGCTGGCCTTCTGACGAAGAAGAGTTGTGTGCTTTAGTTGGTGAATATGTTGTATCAAAAATGTTGTTCAACCTATCTGGCCATGATTGGTACTTAGGTTTTATAAAAAGGCATTCCAATTTGTCATTCAAAAAGCCTGAACATCTACAAAAAAGACGCCAGAGACCCGTTTGTTGTTTACGAGTTTTATAAACAACTTCAAGATTTAATTTCTGAAAAATCGCTAGATGAGCCAAATAAAGAATGTTTCGTATTCAATGCTGACGTGTCAGGATTTAATAGCGATCCTTCTAGAGTAAGAGCGATTGGTGAAAAGGGAAAAACATTATCTTGCCTTCCAGTTGGCTCGGGCAGAGAATCAACAACAGTCTATGCTGGTATTTTAGCAGATGGCAACTATCTACCTCCGTTTATAGTGTTCAAAAGCAAAGCAGTCCAGGCACGTTGCATATCAGATAAAGCATTTCCAGGAACTTTATGGAGCTTCAAAAAACAGAAGGATGGAAGAACCCCACTTTTACCATTGGTTTGTGACATTGTTTGTACCTCAACTGGAAGAGCTCAGAGTTAAGCATAACATACCTGAACAAACAGGTGTCTTAACGTTTGATGACCACTGCAGTCATGTAAGCGTTTGTATTGTGAACTCTGCTCTCGAGCACAATATAGCAATGTTGCGATTTCCCAGTCACCTGACTGATCGGATACAACCTTTAGATAAGTGTGTATTCGGACCGGTCAAATCCAAATGGGATAGAATATTGGTTGCCCATGGCAATATTGAAATGGGAAAATCAACAGGCCGGTTGGGTAAAAGCACATTTGTGGAGCTTCTAAGCGAAGTTTGGAAGAAAGGTATAACTTCTGCAAATATAATATCAGGGTTTCAAACTACTGGAATATTTCCCATTTTTCCTGTTATGTTTTCTGAAGAGTACTTTGATCCCCTCAAACTAGAGTAGTATAAAGAGAGCATTGCAAGCGTTTCTTTAGGAGTTCAATGTTCACCAGAACCGACAGAGCCAACCCCGGGGATTTCTGGCGTAGAACAAAATAATATGAATACAACATCATGCTTGGATGAGGTTTCACTAGAACAAGTTCTCGGACAAGTTGCTCCCAAAAAACATTCTCCAAACCATATTCTCAGTATTTCTAGCAAAAGATTGCATGAAGCTAGTACAAGTTCTGCATCAGAAGTCCTGGCTGATCTTTCTCCCAAAAAAGTAATCCTCCCTTTAAGACAGTCTAAATATGGAAAAGTTTTAACAACACCAGAAGTGTTAAATAAACTTGATGAAGCCGGGGAAAAAAAAAGTAAACAAAGTTAAAAAAAAGTCCCAAATAATAACAGAGAACACAATAAAAACAATCTAGAAAATTCGCAATCCTTAGTAGCGCATGAAGAGGTAATGTGGGATGACATACAGACTGACACTTTTTTTCTGGTCAAATACAAAGCATTAGGCAGAAAGGCCACGGAACAAAGATTTGTTCGTGTGGTTAAACAGAAAGACGAAGAGAATGGTGAAATTGCTATTACAGGTTTAAGGGCACTAGATAATTCTTGTTCTGATTTCTATGTTTAACGAGCTGATGATATCCTACATTACTTTGGATATGACACAAGCCATTCTTCCCAATCCTCAATTAAAATTTGTTGGACGAAAACTTATTTATGGCTTTCCAGGAAGAGTAGATATTTTTGAGAAACCCTATTAAACCCCTAATTAAATTAAAGTTTAACTGGTTGAAAGTACACACCTAACTCTTTTATTTGTTTACCCATGGCATGGGGCAATTGTGAACATCACTATAAGCAGGTAGGAAAAATTGTAAATGCTTTGATATAGTTCTTTTGTTTACAGATGCCCCCTATAAATTTAAATGGAACTTATATTAACAAAGTGGTGATGTTCACTTTCACCTCAAAATTTCTAATTTTTTTTTTTATTGGAATTGTTAACATGATTTTTTTCTGTAAAAGCTAGAGATGCTTAGATTTTTACAAGTGACACCTAAACACAACCCATCAATTAAGCTCTACCCTTAAAATGGGGTAGTATACAAGTGATTTTTAACTACTACGTAGTGATATACTCGACGTATCGTACTATTTAATGTAATCAGTTGCTTTGCAAAAACCGTAATAGCCTGGAATTTATTTTTTTTAAATTTCGTCTTAGCTCCGCCCCTACGTGAAAATAAAAGTTAAAAACGTAGTTAGTTTTTTCAATCTGGCAACACACCACGGTTTTGAGAACGCACAATTTGCACTGACATTGACGTCAAGAACGAAACGTCAAATTTACTACATCAAACAACGTAAACAAGACTGGGAAAATGTCACATGTCACACGATTCACACGACACCACACGTCGTTGAACTGTTGAAGTCAGCTTTCATTTTGAGCAGCGTTGCCAGATGGTCAGCGGCTTGAATATTATTGGTCGCCGCTGTAGCGCTAAATTCAAATTATAGTTTGTTTTTCTCTGACTAATTCTATAGACACTATGCTGGAAAATAATCTAGTATCCCACTATACCATCACCATTTAGCCTATAGAATATCGAGCACTTTTTTTACTAATTTTTATACATAGTATACTATCCCATTACCTTCGCAAATATTAGGATTAAAATTTTAGACCTTTTTATATTTGATTTTGTCAAAAACGTTTACCCATTACCCCAACTGACCCTAAATTCCTCATAAATTCCTCCATATTCCCCAAATTCTGATATATTCCCTCGATTTCCGATAAGTTCCTTCAAATTTCTCTAAATTCCCCACATTTGTGACAAAAATTTTTTAGGTAGTTTGCCCCGAGGTTTGCCCATTGGCTTTTGCAGATGATTGCAAATTTTCAAGAATAAATAATGTTTCTGATACTGTATTGTTACAGGAATATTTAAGTTGTTTAGTCACATGATGTGAGGTAAATAAGCTGAAGTTAAATGTTGACAAATGTTAAACAATAAGTTTTTTTGAGATTCAACAAAAAGATAAATTCTCATCATTATTTTAAAAGTAAAGAAAGTAAATATACACTAAAATAAAAGACCTTGGTGTGGTGTGACTTTTGATGAGGGACTAAAATTTGTTGAACATAAAGTCTGTTTTTTTTTAAGATAAAAGTCATAACGACATTATGTTGGCAATACAATGTAAAATTGTCAATGCTTTCAATTTTTGTATGTAGAAAAGGCTGGTGTTGCCAACATAGTTACTAAATTTTTGACTTAGTGAATTATCTTTTTTAAAAAAAACAGACTCTATCAAGAATGTAGTTGTACCAGGTGTCAAGTTATAAAGTACCACCACCAGTAACTTTTTTATGTACGGTCAAAAATAGAAAAGTTACAGGTGGTGGTACTTTATAACTTGACACCCTATACAGTCCTCTAAGCTGTTGATTTTTTTTTTCAAGGAATTGTAAGAATTTTTCAATTACCTTTGCTAAATGGATTTATAAAAGTTTAGTAAGATCTACATTGGAATATGCTCGGGAATATGGTTGCATTGTATGGTCAACAGTCACCCTGTCATAACATCCAGAGGATTTCAGTTGAGATCGTTCAGAACAAATTTTCACAGTTCTGTGCACATCAGGCTGGGTTTTGTGTGATCGATCACAATAATGAGGGCATAAGAAAAAACCCCAGAAAAAACCTTAAATTGCGCTTTGTTTATGATCTTCCGAGTGATGTTCTCAATTATCACAGCAAATCAAGCTTCATGTTCCTGTAAGACAAGTAAGACACAAATATCTATTTTATGTAGATTTTTACAGAACAGCAATTGGCTTGAACTCCGCTCCAAGTAAAAGTCTTTCAGTGATAAATCAGAATAACTTGGAAATTACTATGATAACGTTACCGTGGTAACGGTAGTTTTGGTAATTTAACCCGACAAATTTCTTTACCGGTAATTTTCAGAAATGTTCCTGAATGAAATCACATTCGGGCGACAATCTTTTTCATGCATTATTTGCCATCTAGTTGTGAATCTGTAACGCGCTTTCAAGGTTGGCATAAGCAAGTTTGGAAAGTGGTGCTTTTCCGCACGCGACGGCAGTTGGCAAGCTGTCAAGGGTGGAAAAGACATTTTCCGCAAGAGTTAGGTGTAATGTTTTTCCATGAGTGTTTCTCCCCATCTTATGTATCAAAAATTGATCAAAAAAATTTGTGTAAGATCTAGGTTTTCTGAATGGAAAATAGTACCTATAGATAGTAATTTGATTTGAAGTAAAAAATATGTACTTAGTACCTATTATCCGTTCACAATCCGATGTCCACAGGTAGGTAAAGGTAAAATCACCTGTCAATGCTATTTGATAGGGAAAGGTGATAAATTTACCTGCACCTGTGGACATGGGATTGTGAAGAGGATATATATCTTGAATTAAAATATTGTGCTCGTAGGAAAAGCCTATTTCAAAAACTCAGTGGGTTTTTGTTGACTTCTGAGTTTGAGATTACTTGGAATGTCAAAGAGTCAAAGATCTTAAAGCACAAAACCCTTCAAAAGCACAACTCTCGAAAAAATCCAAAAAACCAATAGAAATCTTCAAAAATCCGGGTTTTTGCCAACACTGCACGCTTAAAGTAATTAATTTTCTTGACAGAGTTAGGTATCTCTTATGCTATACTTATTCAGATCATTTTATTTATTTGTTTTCTTTTTGCCCTTTGAAAGTAGAAACTTTACTATTTAGTTTAGCACCAGATTAGGAATTAAATTCTGTTTTATTTTTGTTTGATTTTCTTTGCTCGTTTTTCGTTCTAGGAATTAGGTATTATTATTTGCTTAAATATTGTAATATTTCTACGAGGTTAGGTTTTACAACAAACAATATTATAATAAATAGTTGTTAAGGTGAAAAACTCTGGAAATATATAATCCTTGAACGTATATAGTATATAATATAGTCATAATTGTTTGTTTTTTGAAATATTTCCAAAATTACCAAAATGACCGAAAAATTACCGGTAAATTACCACTGAGAAAGAACAAATGAAAATTACCGGTAAACTTCAATCTCTAGGTTTATTAATTATGAAATTGTGATGAAGTGGTTGTGCAGGAGTTAAAATTATTACATTTTTAAGTTTCGGCAACTTTGAAGAAAGAAATATGAAATAAATTTGTTTTATAGGTATTAATAATTATAGGTGATCACATTGGGTTTTTGTTGAAACAATATATCTTGTAAGATTGTAACATGCTATATTTAATGGTATAATCCAAATCCCTTCAATAAATATATAAATAAATAAATTTCATCCCCTTAAAATTACCTAATAGGTATCAAAACTCCTTCTGCCTCCTGTATGTTTTGAATTCATATTAAGTACAGCAATAATTATTGTAGTTTTCAAAGTGTACCTATTTATTTCTTCATTTTTTATATCTTCCGTTTTGTGAGTTTCAGAAAGACACAAAATTAAATGTTTATGTGAGAGTTTATGTTTGAATGAAAAATATTTTACCTGATCTCATCTTATAATATCCCTGAATATTTAATGATAAATACATATTGAGAATCTAACATTTTTCAACCCAAAAATAGAAAAACCTAAAGCCCATGAACTGCTCTTAAAGTTTAATATGCATTAGCATTAGTTAAAAGATTAGTTTCTGAAACACCCTGTATTTTATTCTGTAATGAAATTAGCGTTTTCTTGATCGAGACAAACACAAAGAGTAGTTTCAAATGTGTACAGCGAGGTGTACAGGGTGGAAAAATTAAATATTTTTGCACAATGAAATTCAGCAGAAGCAAGATCCTGAAAGTTAACTTAGAAAGTTTCACACAAAATGTTAATATTATTGTAGATAATTTTTGCAGGTGGTTTACTCCACATACCGGGAAAAAAATCTAAAAAAAGAAAATAATTTCTCTCAATTGAATACTGGTAAGCCAAAAATTAAATTCTTTTGACCAATCTGCCTCAGGTATGTATCCAAATACCAAAAATCAAAGAAAATCCCTTTATTTTTGGTCCACCCGGGATTTCGATTCTTTTGAAGGGGCCCCAGACTAAACAAAAGATATACACCTTTGGGGATTGCACACCCGGCGTTTGACTACCTGGCCTCAAGGACGACCGGCCTGTGAATTTATTTTTAAAAAAGCGACACGTGGTTTTGCGGGAAAGCCAAAAAGAAAAACAAATTTCCATTAATTCCACTGCCAGGGTGGCCATTTTCATTTCATCGACCTTCTAACAACAAAAAAAAACAGCACATTTGTTGCTTGCAAAATTGCCGCCAGAGGCCGAGAGCCTGTGTATTGTAGTCGAGTGCTGATAAGCAACACAAAATGATAACAATTTTTATAAACATAAACAATAAACAAATTAATGCGAAATTTCTTACCTTTGCAAAATTAATGGAGGTGGTTGTGCCGAGAACGTCTAGCAAAACGACCAAACATTTGTCGAAGTTGTTCGGGGTTTGTACTGTCGCCTTTTCGCTAGACATATTGTCGTTTGTTCGAGTAGAAAATGTTCAAGTCAATACGCTTTTTTTCTTATAGATTTTTATAGTAACTGCAGAGCTTTTAGAGATTTTTCAACGGCACAAATGCAGCGGCCACCGGAAGGAAAATGCTATAAAATGGTGGAAATTGCAGATGGGATGGCCGCGATCAGGCAACGCGCCTGCGCGCTTGGCACATTTGCAATGTTGCCCGATTTAGATTTTCATCTTAGGTGATTGTTGTTTTGTCAACAGGATCTGAATATTATTTTTCAACCAAAGTCCTTGTGTGCCAAGTTTTAGTTTAAATAATAAGTAATTAGGTCTAGGACATAGAATAATAATTAATTGTTAATAAAAAACATTTAATTATTCGAGTTGTGGATTGGTGGTGGATTGCATGACTTTAAACTTGACAACTGTGCGGCAGGGTTGTTTTATGTAGAGATTGGACGCTATTCGCGATGTTGTCGATTCTTGGTTAAAGTACCAAAAAAACTAAAAAAAGATAAAACTTGGTCTGCGTCTGGTTTGAAAGTAAGGAAGCAAATCCTTCTCTAAATTGTCTTTATGCTTAGGGGTCCATAATTTTCAAGGTTGCTAGGTTGCCTGATAACTTTATGACGTCATCTGAGGGGCTTCAACATGCAAATCTCCCTAATTAAGGCATCCCACACGCGTCATCGGGATACCCATTACCAGGCCACCTATGAACTTTAGGATCCTGGCATAATTTGAACTTGTCGTCAACACTCAACACAGAAGTGATCCATGTTCCTAAGACGATAAAAACCCTTATGTATGTGGAAATTTGTTAGATATTTTTTCGCTAAAGGCAGCCAAGGCTGATACACTATCTACTACTACAGGATAGCCTATCCTCATAAGGCCTGTGTGGAATGTGGAACAAATCCCGAGTTCGGGAATTACTCCAAGAGCATAATTTATTCATAGTTTGCGGTAATTTGTTCGTTTTGCACTTTTTTTTCAATAATTATGAACTAAAATTATTGCATAAATAAAGTGCGAGCATAAATAAATTACCAAGTTGACGTGTCTGGTTCGCTTACACGGGCTTTCATGTTCGGAGCAGTAAAATGTGTTCCGAGTGAGCTGGTACTGTTTTGACATTTGAAGTAAACAAATCATCAATCGAGAATTTATCAGCTATTTGGCCGTTTGGACCCCAGGATAATACACACTACATACTACAGGGATAGCTTATCGTCATAAGGCCTTGTGTAGATCAAATCTCAAGCCCCCCACCACGCCAAAGAACCAGTGATGATGTAGGCAGTGTGTCGTTTCTCGCCTTGACGTAGGGTGTTTGCACCACAGGTTATGATTCCGCCGGCTCTTGCAGCTCTTGAGTCTTGACTCTTGACTGCCCTTTAAGAACAATTCTCTAGGGAATCCAGAGTTGATAAAAGTTTAAATTTTGATTATTACCGGCTCTTGATTGGCTCTAGGAAAGTTTTCCAGAGAATCAATAGCCGGTAATAGTTCAAATTTTGATTATCTATGGCTCCTTTATTCATTGGATATTTTTTTTTGGAGCAACTAGATACCGACTATCCATTATTAGATACTATATTATGTCTGATAGACAAAATAGAAAGATCATGCAGTCTATGCTGACTTATGGAATTTCTCAAGTAGACCCCAACCACGCCAAAGAAGCAGTGATTACGTAGGGGGCGTGTCATTTCTCGCCTTGACGTAGGGTGTTTGCACCGCACCACAGGTTAAGATTCCGCGGGCTTTTGCTTTATGCATACCTACTTGATTTTACTACATTAGTTAACAATTTTAACATTCTAAAACAACGCTTTTTTAGATCCCGCTTGCATCTTCCCCTTTGTCTATTAGGTTAATCAAAATTAAATTACATTTTTTATCATAAATGTATATTCTAACCTAGAACCGCTGACGCAAACAGCTGACCAGATAGTTGATGACGTCGTCAATGGTGCTACACAATATGGCCGCGATTCCCAAAAACGTTTATTGTATCCATAGGCGATTTCGGCAAGCTTTGGTACATGGTTTGGTACCCTGTTTGGTCTGTCAAATGCATACCAACCAATTTCGGATACGAAAGTGATGTCGTCACCGTGACTTTGGTATCCTTTTTGGTCTTCTCATTTGGTATGGTGCTATCTACGTCTATTTTCGTTATGTCCTACTCTGGGAAATGTAAATAAATGAAAGTTCATTAGAATTTGAATAATTTGAAATTTTTAACAAATATATTTGTTTTTTCGCCTTCAGTTTCCTGTTTTCTCGTATGTTTTGACTGCCAAATAATGTTTAACGGTCATTTGAAAAATGGCTTTGAGCAACAGATATTAAGTAACTTTTTTGCTGAATGGATTATGGAATAAGCTTTACATTTACAGAAAACGCTGAGTTAGCCAATAGTTTACTCAAAGGTACTGTCTAGACAGTGCTGATTAGTGATTATAGATTTTAGTCAGTGCAGTCAGTACCTAGTCACTCCCAAAACTAGAAAAACAACAAAAAGTTAGGTCTCTTCCCCTCTCTCATGGCCTACCAAACGAATTCGGAATAAAATGGTGTCTTACGTCATTTCTATGACGTTGCAGGTACCAATTGGTTAACCAAATGGTATACCAACCAAAGCTTGCCGAAATCGCCTCATATATCTCCAGAGGCAAATAGGTTACATGCAATGAACTATAGCTAAAAACTGGAATGCGCACACTGCCATATCTGCCAAAAAAAATGTAGCCATGAAAGATAGATGCCACAAAGGGGAATGTTGTTTTTTTCTGTTGCTTGCTGACATATGACGTTTTCGAAAGTTTTGTCATATTTCCCTTCACAGGTTTCATCAATTGGAATACGTGTTGGAAGCAATTTTCGCCATTTAACATAATGAGTGCGACAAAAACAGGTATCCCCTCCGCAGCAGCCGCACTAGGCTTCAAGTTCGTCCTTATGTGTTAGCATTCCAGTTTTTGGTTATAATTCATTGGTTACATGTCACAAAATATAAAATGGTGGCGTCGAAGGTGGCGTGCATGTGGCTGGCCAGGACGCATGCTAGTTTTAAAAAAATAATTAGTGATGATGGTGAGCCTTGAAAATAGTAAGTAGGTATTTATTTTTCTTCTTGCACGTGTTATTTGTTGTAGGACCTTTAGATACCCTAATAATGAGTATTTTAACCCAAAAATGCAATTTTTCTTGGGTTTAGTTATAAAAGTGAGGTAGCCGACAAACTGGTTCTTAAAAATCCTTAAAATCCGTTTCTCGGCCAGGGTGGCCGAAAACAGGATAGAAACGGTTGGTACGTTTTGTCTCTGTCCGTCATTATTTGACTAGATATGACTATTTCTGTTTTTTCTAAGTATACTGACTGAAAAGTTAAAATAACATGCCAGATTTCGGCCATTAAAATTATTCATCATTAAATTCATTTAGGGGTTATTGAATAGATGGCCGAAAAGGGGAACTATGAAATGCCCATTTTCGGCCAGCCATTTGAAAATAAAAGGATCTGACATGGCCATAAACAAGCCTATCACTGGCCGTGATTTTTACATTATTTTATTTCGATTCCAGATGCCTTCTCATTCCAAAAAAAAATGTATGCCAGAGCCAGAAACGGCATAAAATTAAAAAAAAAGATGTTTCAGTACTCTGAGGAAGCACTATACGAGCTGCATTGCATGAAATAAGGGAAAATAAAATGGCTGTAAGACTTGCCAGTAGAACTTATGGCGTTCCTAGAACTTCCATCCAAGACCGTTTATTGGGAAAGATTCCTGAAAAACAAGGAAAAACAGGTCCAGAACCCCTTTTAACTGTTGAAGGAGAAAAAAAAATAGCAGACTGGGTCGTCAAGCTTGCAAAATGTGGATTTCCTATCAAAAAGGTTGATTTGATAGAAACACTACAAAAAATTGATAAGGATAGCGGAAAGAAAATTTTAAAAAATGGCAGGATTATGATAGATACCAACGAAAACTTGCAAGAAGAACTTAGAGAGATTATGATGAATACCAAAGAAAATTTACATGAAGAACCTAGAAATATTATGATGAATACCAAAGAAAATTTACAAGAAGACGCTATAGAGATTATGACGGATACCAACGAAAATTTACAAGAAGAACCTAGAGAGATTATGATGAATACGAAAGAAAATTTACAGGAAGAACCTAGAGAGATTATGATGAATACCAAAGAAAATTTACAAGAAGAAGCTAGAGAGATTATTATGAATACCAAAAAAAATATACGAGAGGAACCTAGAGAGTCTATAAAGGACATGTCCAATAACAATCAACCAAAACCAAGACAAAGTAATTCAAAAGCACCATCAGAAACTGTCAAGGAATACCAAATGCTACTTACGGGTTCTGATGATGTTGAACTTAATCCCAATAGAGAAAATAAATGCGTTGAAGCTTCACAACATAAGGAAACACATCAAGGGAAACTTGGAGAATTTTCAGTTAATATGCCAGATGCTTTCGATAAGCACCTAACTTATCCAGATCCTATAAAAAAAGTAAAAAATGTGAAAGAAATATTACCCAGTGCAATATCTTCTGACGCCTGGAGAAAGTATTACCAAGAAAAAGATGCAGCAAAAAATAAAAAGACTGATGACGTTAGGAAAAGAAAGGAAGAGAGATTGTTAGCCAAAGAAAAAAGATTAAAACAAAGGAAAACTACCGTGACTAGAACAAAAAAACTGAAAACTGTTGTGCCCATTCAACAAAAGAAAGAAAGTAATTTAACTGATAAAGTTAAAGTTCATTGCGCTTCTTGCACGGAAATACTAGACTCTAGACAGTGATGCAGAGGAGGATGACGAAAAAAATATAGGGTGCGACTATTGCCAAAGGTGGTATCATATGAGGTGTACCGTAGAATGGGGTGAATAGGATCACTTTTATACTTTGAAGTGGTGCCTCTCCCAAAGTAATAGAGTAAAAATTCTGATGTACATATCAAAACATCAGTCTATACCTGGGCTATCCATTTTTGAGTTCCAATATTTTTTATGCCGACTTGTTGTCCATATATATATTTTTTTTTTGGCTGATCCTATTCACCTGCCATTGTGGTGAATAGGATCGGCAATGATCTTATTATGCCTTATCGTAGTCACCTTCTTGTGGGGTGTATAGGATTGCAGAAATTTTATATGTGA